AAAAAAAAATGGAGAAACTTTAGGACGATCCGGAAAAACAAAAACCTCCGTTTTCTTCTGCTTCTATTTTTCTTCAACGTTCCTTTTTTAAAACATTTATATATATTTATAAATAATCATATTGATTTGATTTTACTTGTTTACGAATATTCAGTGTTAATGACAAAAATAAAACTAAGCACGACTCTACTCGGACCAATCAGTTAAATCAAAAGTCTTTATTGGACTATTTTACCCTTGAATCTTTGAAAATAATTCGAGTTTTATATATTTTTATTTATCTGTTTTGATATAATACAGAAAAAGACATTTTATGAAAAGGAATTACGAGTATTACTAAGCTGTATTATTTAAGAGTAGGCTTATATCTATCTATGGACATGTTTTTTCAAAAAGGCATGTTTTATCAAAATGTGTTTCTGTTAATTATAGATGGTAAATATACGTTCATGACACAGAATTTTTCTAAAAGGAAAGTATTTTTAACCTTATCTTCCTAATCACTATTCCAAATCGTTAATGCAAATTTTGATAAACAACCATTCTAAAATGACGGTTATACCCCTATGGAGAAGTACTGTAAGTCTATAACAGTGCTTTAGAAAGACAACGGAAAGCGCGAAGAACGAGGCTGTTTTATTCTTTGTTTATATATAAAATATTTTGTGACCGTTAACTTTCAAACATGGATTTCGTGAGGTTTTCAAGATTCTTGTCGGGGACCATTTTATTTACACAAAACAGTCCCCACATTTCTACTCTTTTCTCCCAATCAGTGTACATATGTAGCTCAATATACACATAAAGAACCATCCATTATGGATATATACATCGAATGCAAACAATAAATGTTTGAGTAATTCGACATATAAAAGGTCTAATTACAGAAATGTATGGATAATCACTTTATTGAACATACAATGTTCGTAATAATCACTTTGATGGTATAGTATAGGGTGCTTTAGTTTTGTTGACCAAATAGACAAACCAAATGCATGAAAACACAATGTCACACACTGAATTGCATAAAGGCAAACAAGCAACTGAAAACAGCAAAGATCACGTGAATGGGTCCCAAAACCCAAACCCCCAAATCCACTCTCTTTTTTTCTTCTTCTACTTTACTTTTGCTCATAATCTTCCTTTAAAATCTCTGCACTTTCACATTTTGAGCAGCTCACGTGGGCCCTATTTGCCTGCTGCATCTAAAGCTGCCCGAGGTACAACAAACCTTTCCCCACCATTAACTCACTTTCATGCATCCCTACCCTCAATTTTCTTCTCACCAATTTCTATATACATAATACATACTATCAAGAACCAATTCCGAATTTTAGAAGATCGCAAGCTAGATAAATAATATGGTCCGACTCAAAAGTTCTCGTTAGAAAATATATCGTTTTGTAAAAAATATCGGCCATAGTTTTTAAAAACCGCAAACTCGTGTTTAATCGGTTTGGACTTAGAGTCGGTCCCAATACTATACAAAATTAACTAGATGTCATTGTATCTCTCTTTCTTATTTTGGGCAAAAGGTTAACCAGATCTAAAGATATTCGTTTTTTATCTTCTGTTTTTAGTTTCTTATATACAACAGAATCCGAGGCAGAGGATTGTGTCACTCGTGGTCGTGACTTGTTAGTACTATTGAATTATAGTATGTTTGTTTCTTGAAATTTGAACAGAGTAAAATTATCAATTAGTATTAGACTATTAGTGTACCTATGACCTTGCTTAAAATAAACGACCAATTTGTTTTATGCTTCGTCATTGTGTGAAATGCAACACATGTCTTGTCGGTATAAGTGTGTGCTGGCTTTATAACCAACTTGACACTCTACTCTACCTCTATAAACCTAACCTACCTCACCGGTTTTGTTAGTTAAACTTAAATGTCGCAACATACCAAACCCTTTCATAAAAAAATGTGTATTGGGCTTTGTTCGATCGTCTAACTCCAATGGGCTTAGTTACATTTTATTTGGGCCTAATTCATCTAAGCCCATTTGATCTATCTCTAGCTTCACTTGCTGTGTAATTCATCATCTAGCTCCGTTAATTAAGCTCTAAGCGACGATCACCGACGAAAATGATGGTTCAAGTAGTCAAATCGGAAGTCCAAATCTCTCCGTCGAGTGTTCCGATGCTGGAGTATCACCAGTTTCTGCTTCTTCCGAGGTAATTTTTCTCTCTGGCTATTTGAAACCAAAAAGACACTGTTCGATTCCTGTGAAAGGTTACCGATCCAAGCTCAATGCAGTTTCCGTCGTTCTGATCTGTTTCATCGATCGAATCGGAAGAAACCGATAAGAAAATTGAGCTAAAATGGGAGTGAAATCGATGAGGCTAGCTAGAAATGGGTTCTACATATGTTGGTTTCTCTTTGTTGTGATCTCTGTTACGGGTTTCGTGTTTTCACGGACGATCTCAGGAGATCCAGATCCGTGTGATTCGATGAAACTGAGAGAGTTTCAGAGACTTAGATCGGATCAAATCACCGTTCTAATCAACGGTTACTCTGAATCTCGTATTCCTCTTCTTCAATCAATCGTATCCTCGTATTCAGGATCGTCAATAGTATCATCAATCTTAGTCCTTTGGGGAAACCCTAGCACATCGAGTCAAGTACTTGACAAGTTATACCAAAATCTAACTCAGTATTCGCTTGGTACTGCTTCGATCTCTCTAATTCAGCAGCCATCAAGCAGCCTCAACTCCAGGTTCCTCCCTCGACTATCTGTGAACACTCGTGCTGTTTTGGTATGCGATGATGATGTTGAGATAGACCAAAGATCGCTCGAATTCGCATTTTCGGTGTGGAAGTCCAATCCTGATCGTCTAGTAGGAATGTTTGTGAGATCACACGGTTTTGACTTGCAGAGAAAAGAGTGGATCTACACTGTCCACCCGGATAAGTACTCGATCGTTTTGACGAAGTTCATGATGATGAAACAAGATTATCTTTTTGAGTATAGCTGCAATGGAGGTGTGGAGATGGAGGAGATGAGGAAGATTGTTGATCAAACGCGTAATTGCGAGGATATATTGATGAATTTTGTTGCTGCTGATAAGGTAAGAGCAGGGCCGATTATGGTTGGAGCGGAGAGAGTTAGGGATTGGGGAGATGCGCGTAACGAAGAAGGAGAAGTTGAGAGTGGAGTAAGAGAAGTTGGGTTGAGTAGTAGAAGAGTGGAACATAGGAAGAGAAGAGGGAAATGCATTAGGGAGTTTCATAGAGTTATGGGGAAAATGCCATTGATGTATAGTTATGGTAAAGTTGTGAGCTCTGTCGCGGAACAAGGGTTGTGTCGTAAAGCCGGAAAGCTTGTGTTTTGTGACCGAGATTAAACGTTTTTTCGTATTGAAATCCCTCATCCTTAAAAGATGTGTAAGTTTATCATCGTCTGATAGCAGCTAGCAAGTTAGCAACCTGTAAACCAAATGCTTCTTCAATGCAGTAATAGTAGAGTGAAAATGAGTTTTGCTAAGAGAAGGAGCTGGTCTCTGATCGAATAGTGTCCGCTTGTAATTGGGTCTTAGAAACTATGGATCCAAAATTATTCATGCATGTTAGCGTAAGGCCGCAGTACACGTAATCGAATCCAAATATCTAAAATTCTGGACCAATCCCGGAGATTCTATGTAAAAGAACATAAAGAAGAATCTTAAGTTTATACCGTATGTAGTGCATTATTTTTACTTTCTAAACTACAAGTTATAAACCAAGAATGAATAAGTTGCATCTAGATTTTTTTTAAAAAAGATTAATAAGTTGCATATAGATTAGCAACGCATAAAACGTAAGAAAATGATTAAGCGATAATAACTGTTCATAGTAGCTTATGGAGTAATAATACAAAGAGAGACTTAATAATGGCGTGGCATAGACGGGGCCGTGGAGTAATTTTTTTTTTTCCAAAAAAACGACAAAAGAGAGAAATATCTTGGGCCGGAAAGAGCAAGGTGGTGACGTGTAGCCATTGAACACCGTTGCATTGTCACGTCTAGGTAAAAGTGCCTTCTTACGTGTATATAAAGAACCGTCACCATTTCGCCACGTGGAAGATCTCACTACCGTTGGGTTTATTTTAAAAAGTTACGTACTTCTCGTGAAATGATTTTGGTCCCACTTTACAAGTTTGTGTTCCTCGTTGTCACAGAAAAGAGAATTAAGAATCCAAAGGAGGATCTTCTTAAACAGTAAAAAACAAGGGCCATGCCTTGCCTTTCTTCTTTTCCTTTGGATATTTCTTTGGCAAGTTGGAACAATGACAATTTGAGAGCCATCGTTTTCGTCCAATTGGTGTCAATTATCCTCTCAACCTAAAAAATATCGATTTGCTTGTACATGTACGATTCATAATTTTGATTTTATTTAAGTGAGCACAAATTTTTTCTTTCACTATACACTATAAAACAAGAAAAGCGCCAAGGAAAACGTTGTATTTATCGTTTCAATATCTATTTCAGTAGTTCATGCATTTACGTTATATTTTGTTTTGATTTCTTTGCATTATTTGGTGAGCCTAAGAATAATGGGTGGGTTCGATTCAACACCACCGAGACCATTCAGATAAAGTTTGTGGTGGCTTGGTCCAAAATAAATTATTGCATTTTTTTCCATAATCAAAACACGACGTATCACCTAGATGCGCCTCTTGAAACATTTTGAAAACGCTTTTACACCTTTTCAGCGGATATTATTTCACAAGGAGTGGATCGCATATATGTTTTCTAATTGGTCCTTGGAATAGAATTGTGCTTGTTAAAAAAGTTGGGCACATGGACGAAAAAAAAATGCTGAAAAGGACTAAATATTCCACGAAAATGTATAGAGTTTGGTCACCTTATTTCGTTTGACGTTCTATTTTTTTTTGTTTGGCCGCCGTCAGAAATTAGCGGTCAACTTGAGGAGAGGATGCAAATTCTTTTACGTTTTAAAAGGAAACAAATTGACATAAAAACAATTGAGTGTAGATGACTAATTGATTATCGACCAATAAAGGAAAGGGAAAATTATCTAATCCACCGCTTATTCAAAAACAACTTAAAAAAATAGAGAAATTTTTAAAAATGCCACACTTTTGAAATCTTTACAAAAATACCACTTTTTCAAAATTATTTTTTCTTTATATTATTTATGTTTGGGTTAATTATATTCTATTAGGGTTTAGTTTTGAGTGTTTAGGGGGTTTTAGGTGTCAAAACATTTTTTAGAGTTTAGAATTTTAACATATAGGTTTTATAAATCTATAATTAGTGGCATTTTTGTAAATGGACACCCTTAAATATCATTCTTATAAATATGCACACAAAAATGGCATTTTTGTAATTGTCCCAAAAAAATAATCAATCAAAAAATATTTTGATTTGACCATTGACCACATAATACATATTTTTCACAAGAAAGTATTTTATTTGGAAAATTGCATGCAATAATCAATAAAAATTTATAATAGAATTCCTCACCATTTAATCTAAATCCAAAGATTAATATGCTGCCACATATACTAATTTTACTACTTTTTTAATTATAATTTTCTTTTTTGTTATTTTTGCAATTCACCCATTTTCTTTTGCATTCATACGCAAACCAAGTTCTATAAAAATAGATCACATTGACTGATATAAGCGTTATGAATTTTTGAAACTAATTTTAACCCAAATAATATTTTGGAACTAATTAAAAAACTATCCGAATGGTGATAGTGCGGTGCGTGGCGGGCGGTACGGAACAAATAGTAACAAAA